CATTCGTTCCTATGGACGAGAGCTCTAGTTAGATTCAGGGTCCATATTGCTTTAGTCTCACTGATGAAGAATGTTGATTATTACACTCTGAACTAGTTAAAACCTCGAGCTGCAGAAAGAGTTCTTCAGAATTGGTTTGGCAACCGCTGTGTCAACTCGTGACACACCACCTGTCTTGTCAATTCTCCGCCCGAAGCTCCAAATAAACCACCAGTGTTTTCCATCAAAGCTCCAGCTCTCCTCGTGTCTCTCTGAGTCCTGACTCTCCATTGCTTCAGAAGTTTCCCCCACAACATCAATAATATTGTCATACTGATATTCTGTACAAACTGTGAAGTCCACTGAGACAAATGTAACATTTGTGATATATAAATAAACATTGATTGATTGATTGATTGTATGGGAGCATGTGTAACATTACATATCAGCAAGTCGCTCAATGGTAACAATTGAAACCCACGCTCATCAGAGCAGCATGGATGTGATATAATCTTCTAAAATGTTCTGCTTCTCTTTAAAAACGCAACCGTCTTTCTTCAGGAGGGCTACCTCTGTCTCCAGAGCACGGATCTTGTCCATGGTGCTCACTTCCCTTTCGTCCATTTCCAAGATCTTTGCATGCAAACTCAAGATCTTTTGCCACAGCTGATCCTTGTCCGTGTCCGGCCTGCAGTACGAGTGCTCGTAAACAGAAATGTGCTCGAAATAGCTGGGTGTCTCCTCTGAAAAGCAAGCGTTGGTTTGGTCCATGACTATTTCCACAGGGACGAAGCTAAAAGCCTGGCCCAGAGCGGTTTGGAGGGCAGCTGCGTCCACATGTTCCTCTCCTTCTGAGAAAGGGCCCAGTGACTCGCAGCACAACACAGTCACAATGGAGGGAGCCTGCTCTTCAGGATGAGGCTCATCGCGTCGGAACAGTGTGAGGCACGATGCTTTCGGCATGCCTGGTAACTCACCAGCAGCAGCAGTTTGTGTCTCCTTTGAAGGACAGGAGATGCAAGTGTCCGACACCAGAGGCGATTCAAATATCATCCCAGTGTGCTCAGCTTCAATGCCGTTTGTTGTATTTGACTGGACCTTGTTGCATGTTCTACTCAAAATGAGTGGCTTAGTGCTGAGAGGAGAGTCAAATCCTTTGGTTTCAGTGTCAATATCCAAAGTCTTGAGTTTGGCCTTAGGGCTTCTTTTAATGGTGGTAACCTTTTTCTCTGCATCCTGGGATAAAAGAACAGAAGTCTGGTCAATCACAGGCCATACACAATAATAGAAAATGAAGAAGAGGCTTGTTGCCCACCAGAAACTTGCGAGAAATACGTATTTTTTGTAGTGCTTGTACTTCTACTTGGGCTTCAATTTGAGCAGAAAATGTTTAAATAAATACCATTGAGTTGGTTCAAAGCTAGGTTTGTGATTTGGTATTACTTCATGTGTGAACTGTAAAGGATGCTGAGACAGGGAAACAAAGACAGATACGTACATCCCCACTGGAGGGAAATTCAGTCGGGATGGCTGTGTTCTTCAGGTAGCGGATGCCCCATCGGATATCGAAGCAGTCCTCTGTAAAATGCTCGCTGCACAGGTACTGATGGCGACTCGGGGCCCATTCTTCCCGCTTCATGTTGTCCACCCATTTCTGCAGTCTGGTCTTGTCTTGTAAGGGAAACCTTTGAGGGAAGGAACAACAAACAATTAAAAGGCTTGTTTGAAAATGAAACTTTTCATGGTTTCAGTATTAGTTGTCACTTGAATGTCATTTATAAGGCTATCATTACTTACATAGCTCGTAAAGTGTCTCCTGTTCTATAACCCACAACAGTTTGCACAACTTTGCATAATTGTAATGTTTGTATAATCCAATTTCAATATGCGTCTAGTTTATTTCTATATATTTCTGTAGCTTAGTGAGATTGTTTATTGGAGAGTATTTAATTTATTCAATATTTTCGTCATATTCTGTGTTAGGGAATAATTTGCTTAGGTATTCAACCTTCGACCCAGTTCATCGTTTTCTCTCTTTACTGTCTCTTTTCCCATGGCATAGGTATATGGCCTTTGCTGCTATCTCTTTTAAGGAGGAGCAGCTTGGGGGCATTGCTGTTGCCAGTCTATGACCGAGCACAAGCCGCCATGAGGTAGTTTACTGCTCAGGGACGAAGGTTCCCTGGCGCACATTCTTTTCTATGGACGAGAGCTCTAGTTAGATTCAGGGTCCATAATAGTTTAGTCTCACTGATAAAGAATGTTGATTATTACACTCGAACTAGTTCAAACCTCGAGCTGCAGAAAGAGTTCTTCAGAATTGGTTTGGCAACCGCTGTGTCAACTCGTGACACACCACCTGTCTTGTGAATTCTCCGGCCGTAACTCCAAATAAACCATCAGTGTTTGCCATCAAAGCTCCAGCTCTCCTCGTGTCTCTCTGAGTCCTGTTTCCAATGCTTCAGAAGTTTCCCCCCATACACGACACATTTTGTTTTATATTTTAGTACTTTCTTTATACTTAATTCATATTTCTCATAATCATTGATTTTTAATGTTGTCGTATATCTGCACCTTCTGTAGCAGCAAATTCCTCTTACTGTGTTTATGTATTCACAATGTTACACTAAAGCTAATTGACTTAGCATGTGGGC